TACCGTGAATTGCAGCAAGGATAGGGTTATGTCATCTGGTTCATTTCAAATCCCGGCTGTGCCATGAACTAGCTGTGACCTTGGACAAAATGCTTCACTTTTCAAAGCCTTGGTTTCCTGAGCTGAAAAATAGGACTGATTATACTGACCTTCAGGTGGTGCTCTGAAGAATAAAAAAGTTAAAGAAGGTAAGAGAAAAGGGGTGGTAATAGCAGATTAGATTCGGGGCGCCTGGGTGGCTTAGTCGGTTAAGCGTCCGACTTTCGCTTAGGTCATGATCTCACGGTTTGTGGGTTGGAGCCCCGCGTCGGGCTCTGTGCTGACTGCCAGCTCAGGGCCTGGAGCCTGTTGCAGAGTCTGTGTCTCCCTCTCTCTCTGACCCTTCCCTGCTCACGCTGTCTCTCTCTCTCGCCTAGAAATAAATAAAACATTTAAAAAAATTTTTTTAAAAAAGTAGCAGATTAGATTGGGCAGAAGAAGCCTCCATGAGATCACAGTGATATAACTTGAATAAAATATATACCCCAAACCTCCAATTATTTGATGGCACTGTAGAGCATTCAACAGGAGGCAGAAAGGTGAGAGGAGTTGAAACTTGAGAGACAGGAGCTATACTGGATGAAATTTGTATTGCTGTGGCCTCTTGTTTGAGGCCCTCTCTAATCTGTGTGGGAGATAGGGATGTGTAGAGAGCTGTGCTCTTGCTGGTTTGAGGTGTCAAAAGTAGAGAATTCCATGCAAATTGCTGGAAAATTAAGAAATGGTCATGGTGGTGGGGAATCCTAGAAAGACAGGAGCTGTAGAAGAGATGAGCCCCAAAATCTGTATGTAAACTCTGTCCAAATCCTTGGCTGTCCACTGACCTACACACATGCACAGGAGGCTCCAGAGATTCCAGTGAAATCAGCACCTGGAAGATTAAAGAACTGAGTGGAAGTTTCAGGGCTCGCCCTCTCCAAGGGGGCAAAGTTTGGAGTTTGGAGTCTAGCCAAGTTATTTGCCTGCTAAAACAAACTTAAACACTCTTGAGAGGAACATAACATAACCAGGGTCTCTACATTGACAATATCCAGCATACAAAACCCAAGAAAGTTGTAGTAGACCCATGAAGACACAGAAAACTGATACTCAAAACTCATTTTCAAGGAGAAAAGCGATGATCCAAATGTTGGAATTAACATCGAGGATTTTAAAGCAACTCATATTTTCAAGGCCTTAAAGGAAAATATAGTCACAGTGAAAAGACAGATGGAGAACCTCAGCAGAGAAATTGAAACTATATAAAAGAACCAAATGAAAATCCAAGAACTAAAATGTACAATAAATGAAATGAAAAATTAACTTGATAGGTTCAATAGCAGTATGAAGATGACCAAAGAGTCCATGAATTTGAAGATCAATAGAAAATACCCATTCTGGGGGTGCCTGGATGGCTCAGTTGGTTAAGCATCTGACTCTTGACTTTGGCTCAGTTAATGATCCCAGGGCTGTGAGATAGAGCCCCCGCTTTGGGCCCCGTGCTGAGTATGGAGACTGGTTGGGATTCTCTCTCTCCCTATCCCTGCCTCTCCCCTGCTCATGCTCTCTCATGCATGTGCGTGCTATCTCTCTTAAAATAAATAAATAAACATTTAAAAAAGAAGCATGAACACTCTTCAAAAAAGAAAGGAAGAAATTACCTATTCTGAATACCAGAGAGAAAAAGAAAACTGAAAAAATTAAACAGAGCTTCACGGACCTGTGGGAAAACATTAAAAGATCTATATACCACATGTAATTGAATTTTTAGAAAAAAGAGGGAGAATGGGGCGTAAGAATATTTGAAGAAATATTTGCTGATGACTTCTCAAATGTCATTAAAGATAAATTCACAGATTCAAAAAGCTCAGTGGAGCCCACACAAAATAAATACAAAGAAAGCCATGCCCAGTATAGCATAGTCACACAACCAAAATCCAAAGAGAATGCAAAAAATCTTGAAAACAGCCAGAGAAAAATGACACATTATAAACAGGGCATCTATGATACAAATGACAGCTGACTTCTCATTGCAAATGAGAAGCTGTAACCTAACAGATTGACATCTTTAAAGTGCTGGAAAACAAAACAAAACATAGCAAATCCCCCTCTCGAACCAGATACCTATATCCAGTGAAGATATACTTCAAACATGAAGGCAAAATAGACACATTTTCAGATAAATAAAAACTGTATTTGTCACCAGTAAACCTGTATAATAAGAGATGCTAAAGGAGGTTTATCTGGCTGAAGGGAGATGACACCAGATAAACCCTCAGATCTATAGGAAGGAATGAAAAACACTTGAAATGGTAAATATGTGAGTAAATATTTTTAAAAATTCTATTTTTTTCATTTCTTGATTTCTTCAAAAGACATCACTGTTTGAAAGCTAAAATTATGATGTTATAGTGTTTATAACAGATGTAATTTATGTAATAACAGCACACAGGCTAAGAATATGGAAAAGTGGAGCTACATTGTTGTGAAGTTCCTATATTTTATGTGAAGTACCACAATATTAATTTTAAGCAGATTGTGATAAGTCAAAGATGTGTGTTATTGTCACTACAGCAGCCACCACAAATACAATTCATAGAAGGTATAGCTAACAAGGGCCATAGAGGATTTAAAATGAATACAAAATATTATTCAATTAAACCAAAAGAAGGAAGGAAAGGAGAAACAGAGAAACAACACCAAAAAGATGGAATGGCAGAAAGCAAATAGCAAAATGGTAGAACTAAACCTAAATACATCAATAATCACATTAAATATAAATGGACAAAAAACACAAATTGCCAGAGCAGAGAAGCAAGATCCATGTATATACTATCTATAAGACATATTCTTCAAACACAAACTATACATAGGTTGAAAGCAAAAGAATGGAAAAAGATACAAAATAAAAACACAAATAAATCATAAGAAAGCTGGAGTGACTATATTAATATCAGATAAAGTACACTTCAAAGCAGACTGTAACAGATATTTCACAATGACAGAAGAGGCACTTCATCAGGAAGATATAACAACTTTAAATGTATATTAACCTAATCACAGAGCTTCAAATACATAAAACAAAAATAGATAGGATTATAGGGAGAAGTAGACAAAGCTCACAATTATAATAAAAAATGTTAATACTTCTCGATAATTGATATGAAAAATCAATAGACAAAAAAATTAGTAAGGATGTAGAATATCTGAACATTATCGACTACTTTGACTTAATTGACATTTATAGAACATTACACATCAAATAATAGAATACAATTTCTTTTCAAGTGCACATGGGATATTCATCAAAATAAGCCATATCTTGGGGCACCTGAGGATCTCAGTCAGTTGAGCGTCCGACTACGGCTCAGGTCATGATCTTACAGTCTGTGAGTTCAAACCCTGTTCAAAACCTCTGTGCTGATGGCTCGGAGCCTGGAGCCTGCTTCATATTCGGTGTCTCCCTCTCTCTCTGTGCTCCTCCCTCGCTCATGCTCTGTCTCTCTCTCTCTCTCTCAAAAATAAAGATTAAAAAAGAAAAAATAAATAAACCATATCTTGGGCCATACACAAGTTTTAGCAAATTTCAGAAGATTAAAATCTTATATTCTTTGACCACAGCAGGATTACTTAGAAATAAATAGGAATAAGATATCTGGGAAAGCCCCAAATATTTGGAAATTAAGCAACACACCTCTAAAAAAACCACATGATATTCTGAATTAAATTGAAAACGTATGTCCACGCAAAAACCTGCACATAAATATTTAGAGCTGCTTTATTCACACTTGCCAAAACCTGGAAGCACCCAAGACGTCCTTCAATAGGTGAGTGGATACACAAACACTGGTACATTCATACAATGGAATATTATTCAGTGATAAAAAGAACTTTGAAGCCACAAAAAGACATGGAGAAAGCTTAAAAGCATATTGCTGAGCGGAAAAAAAAAAGCCAATCTAAGAAGTCTGTATGATGCCAACTATATGACATTCTGGAAAAGGTAAACTTACAGAGACAGTAAAAAGAGAGGTAGTTGTCACAGGTTTGGAAGAAAGGAGGGATGAGTAAGTGAAGCACAGGGGATTTTCAGGGTAGGGAAACTATTCTGTATGATACTGTAATGGTAGAGACATGTCAAAACCCATAGAACTGTACAAGACAAAAAGTGAAACGTAGGGTTTCCCTGGCTGGCTCAGACGGTGGAGCATGGTACTCTTGACCTCAGGGTCATGACTTTGAACCACACAATGGGTGTGGAGGTTATTTTTTTAAAAAAGATTTTAAAAAGCGAAATATGATGTAAACTATGGACTTTAGTTAATAAAAATGTACCATTACTGGCCCATCACTTGTAACAAATGCACCACACACAATATAAATCATAAGGGAAACTATGCATTGGGGGCAGAGGGAGTATGTGGGAACCCTTGGTACTTTCCCATCAACTTTTTTATAAACCTAAAACTGTTCTACAAAAAATTAAGGTGTTTTTTTTTTTTTGAAAGACCCATGTCCAAATATTGTAGGTGACCTGGTGCCTAAGCCTACCATGTACCTTCCTTCCAATCTTCTGTCTTCCCATAATGTTTCTAACCAAGATTTATCTGCCTTGAAGGACTCTCTTTCTCAACCAGGAAGGGGGTTTCAGAGGACAGGAGGGGATGCTGAATGCGAACAAGATCGTGGAGAGAATCACGGGAATATCAGGCGAAACCAGTTGCTCTGGTTCGAAACCTGGTTTACCCTCTCACTCACTCTCAAGCATTCATTCCACAATAGTCAAGCTTCTACTCTGAGCAAAGTTCTGCACTGGGAACTGAAAGTGTAACTGGCAACAAGCCACAGTCCCTTCCCACAAGGCATTCACAATCCAGAGGGAGAGAATGACAAGTAAACAAGCAGTGACAGTTCAGTGTGATAAGTGTTACCATACACGTAAATTCAGGGGCCTGGGGGAGTCCTGGGGAGGAGGATCTTACCCAGCTTCGGTTTGGTCAAGTGAGACCTTCCTCCTGGGTGACATAGAAGCAAACCTCAAAATTAAGAATCAATGGAAATGCCTCCTGGGCTTGGTCAGAGATCTAGAAAGGAAAGAGAACAGGAGCCCATAAGGAAGCTGCAATCCAGTCACTGTAGAATGTAAATAGAGAGATGTGGGGGGGTGGGGAGTGGGGAGTGGATGATAGAGGTGAAAATGGGCTGTAGAGGCAAGGAGGGCAGTCAGACCCAAGCCTTTGACCCTTTCAGTAGTGCCTACTCAGCCCAATCAGACCTGCAAAGCCTGCTCCCAGGAGTCTGTGCCTAAGGCAGATGACGTGTCCTGGGGAGACTCACCAAGTCTCTTTTGAACACACTTGATAGAAGAAGTGATCCTGTAATTACCGTGGTGATAATTAGAGGAACTTCTTTGCTTCTTTCAACAAACATTGCATAAAATGTGGCTCTCTCACCTTTGGGGGAGGGGGGGAAGCCAGGCATCCCCCGTGGGGAAAGCCAACACCTGCATCTCTTTCCTGCCAAGCACACCTGACTACTGGGCTGAAGCCCAGAGGTGCCATAGATACACCTGGGACAGCTCCAGGTTGGAGCTGAGTGTAACTGGCAGAGTGACCAAAAGTCACTCCCCAGGTACCCCAGGCTGGGCAGACTCCAGCCAACCCACAGGCTTCAGATTTATTTCAGTCTGGCCTTCAAATCTGCGGAGACCCTGCCCAGGACCTGGAGGTGCTTTCTATATCTCGGCAACCTTAGCTTGAGATGCTTAAGCCACTAGTCTGGGCTCACACTCCATCCTCCTTGGACCACGTACACAGGGTTTCTATGGCCTAGACCCTCTCGTAGTCTTGTCAAATGCTGTTTGGCTTCTTATATAATCCGCCTTCGCATGTCTATTCAAGAGGCACTATGAGGACCCCTGGTTTAGATGGAGAGAAGAAAACCTTTCTTCTCATTTCTGACCTCATACCTTTTTACCTGAACCTCTTTTCCCTCCTTTCTTCCACCAGATTTTTCTCAGTGCCATGAACGGTCCCATTGCTTCTGGGAAAGCCTTGACTTTCTTTCCTCAGCACCTCCTGTCCTATCCAGCCGATATCAACTTTTCACTTGGCTTTGCCTTTAGTGACTCAGTGGGAACTAAAAACCAAGTGAATTGCCCAGAGGCTCTCCATCTCTTTTTGTTTCATTAGCGACACATCTGGGCTGTTTTGTTCTTAGCTTTCCAGACAAGAAGCCTCTGCACCTTTCAAAGCCACTTGTACCAATGGCTTCTGGTCTTTCCCATGGGGCCCAAAGCCTCAACGCACGCTCCTCTGAGACTCAGAATGACTGTGTGTCACATTCAAGGGAATATTTGGCATTCTGTAAAAGCACCTGGCAAAGCTGTAAAAGCTAAATGAACATCAAAATTTAGGCTCTCTGCCTTCCTATCTCCCCAGGATATCCCTACATCCAGTGCTATTTACAGCTGGGAAGATATTTGCAGGCTGGTATCTTTCTGTCAATGGTCAGAGGACGGGTGCTTGGTGGTTTGGTATTTTCTTGGGACCCTATCTCAGACCCTCTTTGGGACTTTGATCTTATCAAATGGCCCTCTCCCAGGGCTCTCTGGTGAAGCTTCAGGAAACATGTTGAACCTGACTGGTCTTGGCACCTGGCAGTGGGGGAAGGAGGAAGAAGGAGAGAATTCTTCTGAAGGAAAAGTGTATTTGGCTTTCTCATTAATGGGTTCCCTTTGGGGAACAGGCAAGCAGCAGATGTATGGGCAGTGGCCAACTGATCCATTTGGAGATAGATTCAGGGTGTGGTGTTCCCTGTAAGCCCGGGCAGGCCCTGGGAAACTGGAGCAGAGCTAGATCCCGGCCCGAAATTGGCCAAGCTGCAGAGGAGCCTGAATATGCTGGTTTCAGGTATGCGAGGTCTGCTCCCTCTGGAGACTGGGGTCCGGAGGGACTCATGTGTCTGTTGCCCAAGCATGCTTCTCAAACCTGGAGCTGCACTGATCATTTCCATTCATGAACATAGTAACTGGCCAGGAGGCTTAGCTTGGCCCTTCAGAGTCTGGCCTCAACGCACCTTATCGGTCCCTTCTCTCAACACTCCCCAGCGCAAACTATCCGTTCCCACTCCTGGATCAAACCAAAGCTCACTCCAAGCCTTCACATCTTTGGGCCTTGCCTCCTGCCATTCTCTCTTCACAGAATGCCTTTTCTCCTCATAAGCCACTCCTGGAGAAGCATCCCCTGATGCCCCAGAAGCTCAATCCATCTCTCTCTCCTCCTACGCCCCAGATTCACTCTGTTGGCGTCTGGTCTAGCTCTGTTATTTTACTTTGCGTCTGCCTCCAGTCTACCCGATGGGAAGTTCCCTGAGCTTTTTGCTCTTGCAGGACCAGCTCCTTCTCATCCTTCAGGTGGCAACTCAAATGTCATCTGCTCAGCTAAGCCTTCCCGGACCACCCTATCGAAGGGTAGCCTCCATCCATACACACTCTGTCCCATTACCTTGAGTTATCATCTTCATGAAACAGCATCTGAAATCATCTTCCCCTATTTGTCGGCTTGGACTATGTCTCTTCCTCTAGAATGTAAGCTCTTAGAGGTCAGAGATCCAGCAGAATCAGTTGATTCATAGTTGGTTCCCAATAAGTATCTGATGATGGATTAAGCGAAGGCAAGTGTGGGGTATTCGAGTTGGCACCCTGAGGACCTGGCACGGAGCCTGGCGCAATAGAGGCTGGCAGCATGGAACACTTGCTAAACGAATGAATGAACCGACGAACGAAGGATGCGGCGCTGGGCCTGCAGACTGACAGGTTGTCTGACAGTTGGGGGACCCGCGGCCAGCACACTGTTGATTGACGGCTGACAGCTGAGTGGCAGCCAACCGACGCGCATCGGGGCTCCTGATTGGCTGGCTGCTGCAGCCCCCTTAAAGGGAAATGGGAGGGGGCCCGAGGCGACTGCTCCGCGTGGGGAGGAGGCGGCACCAGGCAGCAGGAGGCGGCCCAACCGCTAGAAGCTGTGTGAGCAACAGTCGCCTCGAACCAGCGAACCGACGTCTCCGCGCAAGGGCCTGGCGCGAGAGGCGGGGCGCGCGCGTCACGTGAGCGTGTTTTGGGCACGTGACCCGCGCGGGTCCAAGGCTGGCCCCCGCCCCCTCCTCTCCTCCCCTCGGCGGGTGTGAGCCGAGCGGCCTCGCCTCAACGCCTAGCGCCCCCCTCAGCCGCCACTGCCGCCGCCGCCGCCGCCGCCGCCGCCTCCGCCCGCCGGCCATGTCCCCCGGCCGCCGCCGCCGCCGCTCCAGCGCGGCGCTCCCCAGGCCCAGCGCGCTGTGAGCGCGGGGCCCTCTCGCCGCTCGCCCGCCCCGGGGCCCCCTTGTTCTCAGCGCCGCCGCCGCCGCCGCCATGTTGGGTTTAGAGCCGCAGCGGAGCCGCCGCCGCCGCCGCCGGTGAGGGAGGCCGAGAGCAGAGCCCGCCCCGCCCCGGGGCCCAGGGAGCGGGGCCGCCTCGGAGCCCGGCCTCTCCCCGCCAGCCGCCTTCCCGGCCCGCCCGCCCGCCCGTGCGAGCCAGCGAGTGAGCGCCGGGCCGCGGCCGCGCCTTCCGCTCCCGGCCCGAGCGAGCCCGCCGCGCGTTCGTGCCGCCGCCGCCGGGCCCGGCCAGAGCCTGCAGCCGAGCCCACGAGAGTCAGCGCCATGGCGGAGCAGACCTACTCGTGGTGAGTGCGGGGCTCGGGAGGCCGGGGCGCGGCGCCAGTGGGGGTCGGGGCGCCGGCGCTGACGGCCGGGGGGAAGAGGAGGAGGAGGAGGAACAGGTGCGCGTTGGGGGGGGGACTCGGGTTGGGGGTGCACGCCCCCCTCGTCCCCACCAGAGGGGGTGGCTGGCGCTGGACGAAGGCGGTCAGCGGCCGGGGACCCGGCGCCCGAGAAGGGGGATGGAGGCGGCGGCGGCGGCCGCGGCGGATGTCATCTGGTCATGGGCGGAGCAGGTGATGGAGAAGGGGAGCATGACCCCAAAGGTGGGAAGCCCACGGAGGGGAAGTTGAATCCCACGGGCACCCCGGAACTGACTGGAGGGGGTGCTCCTGGGCAGGAGGATTCGAAAGGGTGGGCAGAGGCCGGCCGGGGCAAGGGTGGGCCCCTGGGCTGCGAGGAAGCTAGTGGGGAAAACAGGTGATAGCTACGAGAGGACCAAGTTGGAAGTTGCGAGAGAGGAGGCGCTGGCTAACTGGGACTGCTGCTTCGCACCTGGGTCCAGGGCGAGTGAAGGGGGAGAGTTGGCAAGGTGGGCAGAGGCCCGGGCGTGACGGAGGGGACACCGCGGAAGCAGCGTCTTGGGAACCGTGGAGGGAAGTCCCTTGCGAAGAGGTTGGAAGGGGAGCCTGTTTGGATAACCGCGCTCCGGAAGGGAGGTCCTTGGTGGCGGTGGGGAATGAGTAGACTCTTTGTGAGGGTCGGTACTCAGTTCTTCAGAATTGAAAGTGGCCTGGTGCCCTGGGTCAAGGGTGGAGATGGAGGAGCTGCAAGTTCTGTCCATATTGATAGGACTGCTAAAGTTATTAAACAGCTTGTTAAGGACTGGGAAGCGTGCTATGTAGTTTACAGAGTGAGAACATACCTGTCTTGAGCAGGGAGTGTGGTGTTTGGGGAGAAGGGGGTGAGAGGCCTCCCTTCAGCATGTGGAGGTGGAGTATTTGCAGGAGGGGTTGAAGGAGTGGTGATCGTTTCCTTGAAGGGTGGAAATTGGATAGTGGGGAGGAAGTAATGCCGGGAGGGTGAGGAGGCCAGAAAGGGGATGCTGGTAGGTGTGGGGATGGGAAATCTGGTTGCAATCTGGAGAGATTGATTGAAGACCGTTTACCTTCAGTTGGAAGCAAATTTGGTTTGGGACAGGATTGTATGCTTTCCCTTGTTAGAAAAGAGCGCGCTAGAGTAGGAAGAGCAGGGCACCTGCCTGAGTTGGAAGGCCTGGTTTGGAGGGCCGCTTCACTACGAAATATCTTTATTCCCCGGGCGGGATGGTAAACCCTCCATTGCTTTTCCCTTACTTACTAGATAGCAGAAGTGCCTCTTTCCAGGTTGTAAAGATTAAATGAATATCTTTACAAAGCACATGGCAAACTGTAAAGTGTTACATCTTACTGCATTTTAGCAGAGAAGCCAGGGAAGTGGGTGGTAAGTGAAAACAAAGAATGGTTTTAGGTAGAGGGCTTTAATTGAGGGGTTGCCTTGCAGTGGTTGGGGTTGTGATAAGTCAGGAACTCATTCTGTCTTCACAGAGGGAAAGAGGGTTGATGATTGAAGATGATAATTCAAAAGGGAACTTCAAAGATGTGTATACAAGCTCAAAAAGAAGATAACGGAACGACTGAAATAAAGTGACACTAAAAGAAGAATTAAAACGTTGGTAAACAATTGTGCCGGCATATATATTTTTAAAAGCCGTTTAAACTAATTGGATAGCTTTGAGCAACGGCGAGCTGCTTCTCTTTAGCAGGCAATAAGGAACGCAAGATTACGGTTGGAGTTTTCTTATGGACAGAATAAGTTCCCCTTGTGGTAACTAACTCGTCTTGAGCTCTTAACACTCTGGCCCAGCTGAGAGTCCTGGTGGGTGCCCTGCTTTGCCGTATTCAGGCCACAGATGGTCGAAGGAGTTAACACAGTGGCCAAGAAGTGGGCGAAATGAGAGTGTTTCACTAGGTAGGTTGGCCACACCACTATTTCTGTGTGATGTTCGACAGTTCTGCTAGTTCAGGGGGGACTATTTTGTGAAGTCTGAGAGTTTACAGTATTCATCCTAGTGAAATACTTCAGTCTTGGCTTCCTATGGCTTTATGGGCAGAGAAGCTCCTTGAAATCAGAATGCTTAGCCTTTCATCTTGAGTATGTTTTGAGATGGAGACACTTTTTACATCATCTTGAGAGAGGGAGGTGTCTGAGAAGAGGAGTGGAAGACCAGGCAGCTTTCTAGGCTCTGATAGTTACCATAGGTAATGATCCATGTGCAGTAAAGGTACATGTTTAATTCTCCCAAGTCCCTGAGGTCAGTGATCATTTCCTGTTCTATAGAGGAGGAAACTTAGGCTCAGGAGGCCAAGTGATTGGTCTAAGATGCTTCGCCTCTGATGCTTTATTTTGTTGGACATAATTCTCCCCATCATTTTATTCATTCTCCTTGAAATATAAGTATGGGAAAGGTATCCCAGAAGTACATGTAAGCTGAGTTTTGGATTATGTCTCATTTTGCAGTGTCTTTGTTACTGTTCCATAAGTTCATGCAAATAAGAGTTGATTTTTTTTAATAGACTTATGCTTTATTTGTATGTGGCCTTTAGGAAAATCAACCTTGTGGAGACTACTGTGGCAGTATAGATTTGTCTGAGGATGGAGTCAGCGAAGAATGAAGAAGTCAGAATGAAAATAGGTTCCTTTAGGATTTTCATATAGTAAGATATGCAGATTATAAAGCAAGATTGGCCATGAGGTGGTAACTGTTGAAGCTTAGTGATGAGTACAGGGAGGTTTATCATTTTACTCTGTATACTATGACATGTTTACAGCTTTCATAATACAAGGTTAATTTAAAAACCCGATACATGCTGTTCATGCTGTTTTCTGTTTTCTTGTGCTTGCTTTCTGTGTTGAGAAGTTTTCTGTGAATAGGTGTATTAAGAATATGTAGGTTGTAACCTAACGAATGCGGGGGTGGGGGATGAGCCACGCAGGTAGTTGGCGGGTAGCTCCCTGAGCTTTTGAGCTTCCACTTTGGGGACGTGAAATCTGTGGGGTTGTTCTGGTTGAAGGTGCAGCTTCAGTACACCCCATACAACAGAAGTATGGAATCCTCCTTCTCTGTGGGGTTTACATGCCAGGACTCCAGTGGATGCCTGAAACCAAGGATAGTACTGAACTCTAATATATATTGTGTCTTCTCTGTCCGTACACACTTAGGATAAAGTTTAAGTTATAAATTAGGCCTGATAAGAGATTAACAACAAATAAAATAATTATAAAGATATAATAAAAGCTATATGAGTATGGTCTCTCAGAATATCTTGTTGTACTGTACTCACCCTTCTTGTGATGATAGGAGGTGATAAAATGCTTATGTGATGAGATGAAGCTACGTGCATGAGCGTAGGCTTTGTGACAGTAGGCCACTGTAGACTGGCTGACAGTACGTGAGGAGGACCGACTGCTTCTGGACTGTGGTTGTGACCCTGGTAACTGAAATCATGGGGTCCCATGAGGCAGGGAAAGAGCAGTCCTCTGTCCCAGGTCATGAGCAGGAGATACAGAGCAGGGTAGCAAGCACCTGTGATTGGAGTGGAGGTCAGTAATTTTGGGGGCTTAACGGCAGGAGCTATTTTTAAAAGGTGTCCAGGGAAAAGCAAAGCAGGGACTTGTGGTGAGCACCCCAAACTTAAGTCTTTATCTGAGTGTTCAGACTCTGGGTGTGATTATGGATATCATACTAAAAAATAGGTAGCAACTCAGAAAAACAAAGTTCTTGTCCTCAAAAGTGGTTTTCCTCATCACACTTTCTTCCTAGCAAATTCTATCAAAATCCTGTCACCCAAGGGTTCGCTGCAAATTCCACTGAGCTGTGAAGCATTTTCTGAAATGTGATCCCTTTATTTTTGATACTTGTAGTCTGTCTGCATCATTCCTCCCTTTACATGTGTGAGTACCTAGCCTCTTCATCCGATTGTAAACTCCTTGAGGGTAA